TTTGGGGGGGGGGGTTGTTGTTGCTCTTGTTTTTGCAATGTGGGTGTATTCACAGCCCCAGCGACGGAAGCTAGATCATTTAGGAGGCAGGTAACGACCCTGCGAACCCAGACCTAGAGGGATACAACATCTCATCAGAAAGACCGAAGTACTCTATAAAAAATGTTCCCACTCTGGAAGCGAGCTCCTGTGTGAGACTGAAAAGCGCCTTACTGCGACACCACATACGTCGGTCAACGCATTATAATAGAAATAATAATAAAACTAACAATGATAATAATAGCAGTAATAATAATAATATGGGACATTTTATGTTTATTATTATTCATTACTACCGCCAAATTAATGTTGCAATTAGGAGAAATCAGTAATTTTGTTTGTAATAAAGATACTTATCAAGGTATGATTTCAATGTTTTAGCTGTGTAATATACTTAGAGGCAAAAGAAACGCTAAATTTTCGTTGTGGTAGCAATTTTTAAAAAAAATGGATGAGTATAGTTACATGTTCAATTGAAGCGTTGTCTAAATTTGCTAGAATGGTTACATTCAAACATCGGATTGCCATGATTGGTGGCTTTTGTAACGAACAACGAAACAAATAATATAGCTCACAGGTACCCATTTGCCTCATCGTTCGATAGGCGAATTTGTGTTCATGAGGTCTTGTAGGCATAGCCTGTAATTTATTTTGGAGCCTCGAAATGTGGAATTCAGTTGAAAGAGAAAACTGTATCAAGATGCCGAAACTTTCATCAGAAAACTGTGAGTAGGACGACTACAGGCTGGCAAGTCTGCTGAACATGTGGCAACTGTTACAAGCTTGCCTGTCTCCACCATCTACAAACCACAGAACCGGTTTCCAGCCACCAATGCATCCAGTGATCCAACTGAAACTCAGAATCACCTTATGGCACACCAGTGTTGGATGAATCCGTTCCTGAAAGCCTCCAATATCTTCAGAAACACCATCTGGGTACCGGAACCGTACGGCGGAGTTTGCACTCCACAAGTATTCGGTGCAGACGGCCGACTCGCAGGTCAGCTCTGACCTCTCAGCACCTCCATGAACGACATCTATGGGCACAGGCTCACGTAAACTATAGGAATGGACAATGAAAAATGGTGATGTTCACCGACGTGAGCATATTATTCTGCGTTGATCCGGCAAATAGGAGCATCCGTGTGTGGCGCCAAGACTTGGCGAGCTACGCTGAAACCATTGTCGTAAAGAAAAACCCGTATAGAGGAGCAGGTGCCTAGGTTCGGGGAGTTATTGCCCTGAATTAAAGATTTGGAACAGTGTTCTTCAAGGAAGGGGGTCATGGACAAGGAAATGGGTTAAAGCTCAGTAGCACAACGCCCAAGTTCTGCAGCCTCATGTGGTGCCTTTTTTCCTGAGGCATCTAAACTTTTTTATGGGGGGGTTCATCAAAAGAATGCAGGACCTAATACTATAACATGACAGTTCCTGGGGCAGAACAACATCAATCTTTTGCTTCATTTGGTTTTGTTCCCCTGACTTAAACCAAACTGAGCATGTTTGGGTCGCTAACAAGAAGTAGCTCAACCATCTGCAACCGCTACCACTGACAGCTCCTCAATTGGCTACAGCCATAAGTCGGGAATGGGTACAGATCCTAGGTCGACAAATAAACGCTGTCTAGAACTCTATGGGTCAATGATGTAGCGTGGTTATTGCAGCTAACGTAGTTATATAATTTGTGTCCCAAGATAAAGTTCACAGAAATTACATAGCGACGCTAAAACTACACTAAAAAACCCACCTATTGATACCCTCATGGCTGTGTAACTAAGACGAAAAAAAGTATTTACACAAGATAAACGTCTGATAAGTTTAGTGTGTTTGGTCTATGCTGTAGTCATCTGTATTTTTTTTACCTCTGAGTATGCATATTTGGAGGGGGGGGGGGATTTGGTACTCTGACAGACTAATGCAAATAGGTATCAATGAGGATACATGCAGAAAAAAACCCAAATACTCGTACATGAAATACCAAACTGAACTTGTACGTTACGTTTGTATCCTATCTACTCTTTTAGACTCTTTGAATGTCTTCATTCTCTTCACTGCTAGCTCATTGCAGACTCGAAGATTGTTCAAAAAAGAGACAAAAATATTCCTTTTAAAAAGAAAACGGACATTTCCATAAATTGTAGGAAACCTATTTTCTAAAAGATTGCACTCATCATAGACTAATAGTTTGAAAATTATTTGAAAAAAGATTCTTTCTTTAACCTCACTTACGATCAAATGGTGGACGAAAAATTGAATAGGTTGCAGGTGTAACTTCACGATATGTGACAATTTTAAAACCGTCGTCTGTGTTGTAGTTGTTAAGTTCTTCGTCGTCGTACGCTGAAGACGAGATAGATTCCTAAAGGAGGAAGATCTTTTTTGTCCAGCTTCGCCGCTGTCTGTTTGGACGTTATATCTCATTCAGCTCTTGCAAACAGAATAAGAGGCCTATCCCTGAGTTTGAAAGCGTTTTTAAAAGAGCGTAAACAGAAAATACCCCAGGGTGTCTTTAACTTATACTTTTTTGATTGACTCCTGATAGTTAGTCTTTATTGTATTCCATAGTACTCAATATGTATAAGATGTGATGAATATCGTCATCGTTTTTGTTTCTTCTTGTTCTTGTTTTTGTTCTTGTTCTTCTTGTTCTTCTTCTTCTTGTTCTTCTTCTTCTTTTTCTTCTTCTTCTTCTTCTTCTTCTTCTTCTTCTTCTTCTTCTTCTTCTTCTTCTTCTTCTTCTTCTTCTTCTTCTTCTTCTTC